CCGTTAAATTTTCCCTTTTCCACATAGTGCTCAATTGGCGAACGAGAGCATAGCCCAACCTCTTTAATCCGGTACCTTTGAGACTAGGAAACTCCGGAACATAGAAAATGGTGGATGAAAAATAGCATCACTCAAAAACACCTTATGTAAACATCGTCTTGCCAGATCATACTGTATATATATATATATATATATATATATATATATATATATATATATATATTTCTGTGTTAAAAAGGTAGAACAACACTTAAAACAGGAAATTAAATAAAACAATCACTAATGCTTCCAAACTAAATTTCTATTCTTTTATTCGATATAAATTATAAAATCACCCCCCCCCCAAAAAACAAAAAAAACAATATATCCTTACTATCATAAATGGCTAAATATTCAGCTATATATAAAAAGAGAACAAGACTATATCACCAAAACACTCTCCTGCTGTCGTTTGCTGCGGAAAGTTGTAAACATCGACTGGCGCTCCCATTGTAGGCGTTCAACGAATTAATGGTGATTTACTAAGCGTAGCTTAGAGGTGGCACAAGACCTAAAGTATGGAGCACTCAGTGAGGATCGAACTCACTATTCAGTTATAACTGATCTAGCAGGGGTAGCTTGCTAACTGTTGCATCACATCAAAGTGCCCCGTTCAATGAATCTTTGGCTTTGGATTCAAGAAAGTACCGGACCATGTGAATTACTGGATTAAAGAGGTCCGGCTATATATATATATATATATATATATATATATATATATATATATGGAGATGAAATATGGATTAGAATCCGACAGGATGATAAGAAAAAGAACAAATAGGAAACGTATTGTGATTGATATACGTTTCCTATTTGTTCTTTATCGTATCATATGTATGTATCTATATATATACAGACTGCGATGGATAAATTGTCGTCTAAATTACGTAAAAATGAAAATAACACTGACATCATATTTTAACAGATATATTTACCAATATTACACAAAATTAAAATTAATGAGTAAATTTATTAAATAAAATCGCCATCAACCACTGCCTTTAGACGACTTCGTAATCTCTTCAGTTCTTCTGAACGGTCACCTTGTCTAAGTTGGTGAATGCTGCCATAATTCTTGCCTTCAGTTCATCTTTGGTGTTACAAAGAGTTTTATTGGTTTCTCTCTCAACTGCGTCCCACACTTAATAATCAAGAGGGTTGCAGTCTGGACAGTTAGGTGGCCACATATAATTGGTGATGTAATCGCAGAAATTGTCTGATTGCCATGACTGGTTCTCCTGCTTGTGTGGCATAGTGCAGAGTTCTTTGCCAGACATAGGGTCCTCCAGCAGCCACCACCTTGACCCAGGGCAGCATTACTTCATCAGGGCACTTGATATAGGCCTCTGTGTTGAGCCTAAGGCCCTATGGGGAAGATGAATGGAGGTACAACGTCGCCATCACTAGTGATCACTCCAAACACCTTTGTAATCAGCATTAGACTCATCCAACTCTTTCCAAATCCTCTGCACAGATTCACAACCAAACACACTGAAATGTTCGTATTGGAGCTTCAATGGCAAGCAGTACAGGATGCCATTTCCAAATTTTGGGCGGAGTGAATTGCATCATGATGCTCTGTTTCTTACAGATAGTGCCCACCTGACCCTAATATACTGTGCAGTCGACAAAATCAAAAACCAAATTTTACCCATCGCACCCTGTGTATATATATATATATATATATATATATATATATATATATATATGTGTGTGTGTGTGTGTGTGTGTGTGTGTGTGTGTGTGTATGTGTGTGTGTGTCTGGAGAGAGAAGGAGAGAGGCAGAGGTCAGGCAGGCCTGTCTGAATAAATTGGTTTGGTTACAGGCAATGGCATCATCAAGAAATCATCACCCAACCACTGAACGGAAGACTTATGTATGAGATCTCATTTCAATTACTGGAATTTCTCAGTCACTGACGTAGGGAACGAAAAGATTCCGATTTAAAACCAGATCATGAAAGCTGCATTTTACCCGTAATCAGTCTGTAAGTAATATGCGCATATTTGAAACTCATGAAGATCAGCAGCAACAAAAAAACAAAAAACAAAAAAAAAAAAAAGTATTACTACAGTTTAAGCCAGGAATCGACTTCTATTTCTGAAGCTATATTTAACGTTTAATCTTCTGTGATTGTGCAATAATCTGACAGAGAGGATTATCCACGGTGTTAATGACTGGCCAAAGATAATCGCTATTTATCGTTTCACAATCTAGTATATTTTTCAGCTTGACACAAAGAAGCACTTCAGCTATGGTTATAGACTGAGAAGGATCATTGGAAATTCGTCAATGTGTTTTTGAAACTTTAGAACAGGATGCGAAATATTATATTTACAAATACAGAAAATATTTAAAGTTGAAGTCGTGACTTTTCCATTCGCAAATTTATACAAGATTAAGTATGAAAGTAACAAACTCTATCTATCTATCTATCTATCTATCTATCTATCTCAGCTTGTTAATACATACACACTATGTCTGGGCAGTTCGACGTGGCGTAATGCTTAGCAAGCTTCTCTCGCTAGATCACTTACGACTGAATAGTGAGTTTGATCCTCACTGGGTGACCCATACTTCCGGCCTTGTGCTACATCTAAGTTATGTTTAGAAAATCCTTACGTGGTTTAATTATTAGCAAGCTTGTCTCGCTAGAACTATTAAAACTGAGTAGAAAGTTCGATCGCCTGTGGATGCCCCCCAGACATTTAAAAGCCTTGTGCTTTATCTAAGCTATGCTTGGAAAATCCCTATACACACTGAATCTGCTTTTATTATGCAAGTTATTGTTTTCAAGAATAAAATTGATAATAACTAATCGATTTTCCTAACATTTCAGGATAGACTTATATTTAAGCGATTACTAAGCTAGTCATTTTCTACTAATTAGAGTAAAGGAAATCAAAGGAAAAAATTCGTGCTGGAAAAAAATCCCAACATGCATTTGAGTGGGCTTGCCTATAAAATGTGGAGGGGATTGTTTTGTTTTAGTTTGAATATTTTGTTGTACTTTTTAGTTTTGTTTTTGGGTTCAATCCCTCCCTGCACCATTTTTTCATTATTATATAAACTTTTGTATATTTTTGTAAAAAAAAAAAAAAAAAAAAAAGCAGGAAAAAAATTTCCCATAAGAGACATCATTATGAATTTTTATATCATAGGGTTTTTTGTATGTCTGTTATGAATATGTGGTATGGTGGCATATATAGTATTGAGAGGTGACGGACAAGTTCTTGTGGTGATTGTACAGTGTAATGAATGAATGGATCGTGATTGTGATCAACTAGGACTAGGATAGTTACTGATGACTAGCCTTTCCCTCACTTTCCTTTCGGCCTTGTGCCAAAATTTCTGTATAAAAACCGAAATAAATTTGATTGAATCCAACAAACGATATTTTATTCGACATTATTTGCTATTACTATAAACGTTATTTTTTTACTGGGCACACGTGTTTATTTTATTAAACAATGAAATGAATAATAACCGGCCTAAACTGAGATTTACTATTAAAGAAAAATTATGCCCCCGACAATAATCGAACCTTTTTTCATCAGTGAAACCACTTTTTGAGCCAAAGTGTGCCTCTATCAGTTCGGCAATAAACCCGTTTGACAGGTTAAGGTTAAAATGGCCTGTACAAGGAAAACACGTTTCTCTCGTATGAACTAAATAAAAATAAAACAAAATATATACAAAGGATATCTTTGTTGTCACTTCAGTCACTGCAATGTTATCGGTCCTGACCTAGCATCTCAGCTTCAGTCATATTCCCACTTCTGTAACGGGTCTACCCTTTGCCTCTTCTATAAATATTTTCATGGTAATTGTCCTGATGTAGTTTCCTCTTTGGTACCTCGTCTTTACGAATTTAAGCGCTGTACTAGATTGGCACGGTGAAGTAATTGATAGCGGCTTGGATTGAGGAATCGGAGAGCCGAGTTCGAATTCCAGTTGAATCCATTACATTCACTTACGTGCTAATACCCTTGGGAAAAGTATGAATCTTCTTCTTCTCCCCCCCCCCAGCTATGGGTAAATAGCAGGACAGACCGGCAACTGGTCTACCGCAGAAAGAAATGGCAATCTACTGCGGAAAAAAAATCTGCCACGTCAGCCATGTAACGAAAAATACATGATCGCCTAAGCGTGCATCACGCATGGCACATAACTGACTGATTATACTGGCAACTAAGTCTAATCATTTTACAGTTGAATTTGCTAGATGAACCGGAAGTTATATCCTAACAGTCCTTGCATTTCTCGCATCTTAAAGGTTTTATTGCCTTGTTTAGGGTGAAATTATAAAAATAAACATCATTTGGTCTGCAAGAAAAGAATGTGGAGAGTACAGATTCTGCCTTGTCATTTAAGATGATAAACACCGGAATAGGTGGTAATTAGACGGAACAAGACTTAGAGGCTGCGGGGGACGTGGCTTCTATCGTTTCAGGTCTGGTCTTTGCTGTTTGGGAGTGTGTCTTATTATGATGGAACATTACACCTCTTTTCCTACAAATTAATTTTAAGCCTCTTTAACTACTGATAATAGATGTCTAACTGCAACATTCGGAACGACCCAACGAAATCCTTCCAAAATACTAAACTTTCTTTGATTGGAAATTATTTTTTTTTAAGCGTTTCACCCCAAGCAAGGCGGAAAGCCACTAGCACGCAAGGGGGTTACAGAGAGTTGGAGCGAGAGCAAAGAGGCGTGGTGGAGAAAAGGATGAAGAGAAAGATAGGGGATAGATCAAGGCATCTGGAGACGTCGATTGACATTACATTTGAATAGTTGGAGATTATAGATATCAGGGAAACAAGAAAAGGGGAGGGAGTTCCACAGGCGAGAGGTGCGAGTAGAAGAGACGGCTACATTTAAAAGTTTTGATAGTGAAAGGGTGAGAGCGAGAGGCCAGCTTAGTTGAACGCATAAATTCATGAAGTCTGGAAACCAGCGAGAGCAGCTCATCGGAACAGTTATTTGTAAAAAAGACAGAGGGAGGCGACAGCACGTCTGTGAGAGAGCGACTGCGGGACGAGATGCCAGATCAGAGCCAATTACATTGCATATCCGTCTCTGGATTTTATCAAGGGCTTTGAGACAAACAGAAGGGGTTCCAGACCATATATGTCAGCAATACTCCATCCATGTTAATTTGTAGATTTGAAGGATCGACTCCGGCGAGAAAAATTTCCTGGCGCGGCACAGGGAGCCAACTTTTCTTGAGGTGGACGAATTTGGGTATGGAATGTTTTTATTCTGCAAAACGTACTGGCAACATACCCAGTAATAGACGTTTGAATGAATGCTGCATCATATCAAAATATTTTTTAAATAAATTTAATGATTTCAGTTGAAAATCTTGAACTTCCTCATGAATGGATTTTCCCACAAGATAATGATCCTAAGCACATTGCAAAATCTACGAAGAAATGGTGTACTAAATATAATGTAAATATCCTGAAATGTCCAAGTCAGTCTCCAGATTTAAACCCAATCAAGAATCTGTGACATTATTTGAGTTTGCAAATCCAATCTAGAGCTCCAACAAAGATCTGAAGACCATATGCGAAGAAAATGGAACGAAATACCAACTAAAATTTGCAAATCATTGAGGACTACATGAAGAGGTTGGTTGCTGTAGAAGTGAATAATGGCTATTCTACAAAGTATTAAATGCAGATTATGTTTTTTTTTGTATCGTACGAATATTTTTTTCACCCATTAAAACAGATAAATGGGATTTATTTCTATTAAATCATGTTTTTCTGTTTTCTATGCATATTTAGTTATTACGTATCTGTGTAGAGTTAATTATATGAAACGCATGCTTTTTTATTAGTTGGAAATACAATAAATTAAAAATTTGTATGTGTACGAATATTTATTTCCTCCACTGTATGTATTTGTACGTCTGTATGCAAATCACAGTATTTGAACTTACTCACTCTCTCTTTCTCTCTCTATCTCTTTCTCTCTCTCTTTCTCTTTGTATTTCTGTGCATTCTCTCTCACTTTTTTCTCTTTTTGAGTATCCTCTCTCTCTTTCTCTCCCCCTTTCTCTCTGTGCATTTTCAGTTTGTTTCTTGTATTAGCAGAACTCATCAAACATCGATTGACAACAGACACTGACATTTTCAAACGGGGAAATTACCCCGTCCTCATTTATAATTGCGTTCCTTTGACTTAGATTTCTAATCGGAATACAGCATTCGCCCACCCCAACTCCTAATTTCCCACCGGCGAATCAAACAGAACCCTAAATTAGAGGGGTGTGTCCGCGGCGTCTATTTCTCATGACCTCAAACAAAGATGTCAGCCCAAACAGATCGCAACGAACCCAAGTGTGATGGTTTATTGTGACACAATTGCAGGCCAGACGAGGCTAATTTAATAGCTTAACAAATGATGACGCCCAAAATGACCTTATATTAAAAAATGACGTTCAAGACTTTGTTTTGAAAGCAAAGAAACGACTGTTCGGATAGGCCGATGAGTTGATCGGTGGAAAAATAAGTCAGTCAGTTTTTGTCTCAGCTGAAGAATATATTTTTATGTCGGAGGCGAATGGATATTCATATGAAGGGTGTTACATTAAGATGGATTATATATAAGGGTGTTTCATTAAGTCGGATCAAAGTCAGCAGTAAATAAATCAGTGTTATTCGTGAAAATTTATTTATTTCTCTATTGGACAATTTTATTTAAGTCATGGCAATTATGTATGAAAAATAACGCATTTCGTCAAATGTGAACTTTTTTAAGGCAAAAACGAAATGAATTTATTAAAAACGAAGTAACTATTCACAACAATACAAAATGCCCTTAGCAATTAGAAGAATTTAGAAAACGCTATTGTACTCATATTGTCAAGTGAAAATTGGACGAAATGCGCCGGCTAATAATACAGTTTTCGTATTGTCTTTTACGTTTATACATATTGTCTTTTTCTACAGGTTTTTGGCCAGCATGCCCATCATTAGGAGAAAAACATTTCTGCTTGTTAGTAGCAGTGAACTACAGAAATGAATGACTTGATGGAGAAAATGAACTTTATCTGTATTTTTCATTTGTTTTTTATTTTTTCATAATGAATTTTGGTCAGACCTTGTGTTGGTCCAACAGTCTCTTTTAAGTTGTTACTTAAGAGCTGGATGAATTCATGCTGTTCTGAATTCCCTTGGTCATTTTGCCAGTTTTATTCGTTCCTGGTTCTCTGTTAAGTGTGTGTGTGTATGTGTGTGTGTTATTTGGTTCTTAGGGAATGAGCGAGTATGATGTGTGTAAGTGTGTATATTATTATGGGTGTGTGTTACCATTTAGCTCATTAGGGAGTGAATGAGTACGATGTGTGTATATTATTATGGGTGTGTGAGACCTCAACATCTCCGCATGCATATATGTTTTGTTTTGGTGAGAAATGTGGGTAGGGTCTGATTTGTGGGGGTTATATATT